GGGAGGGGAGGCTGCGGCAGAGGGGAGGCTGCGGCAGAGGGGAGGCTGTAGCAGGCAGCTGATGGGCTGGCTCCCGCCCGGCTCAGGTGGCCCCAGGAGTATGGGTGTGGTTAATGGCCAGCAGGGGGACGGGGCCATCAGCCTGTCCTTCCCGAATGCACAGTCACGACCACGACAAGGGCCACGAGGCTCAAGTCCACATGGCTGTGGTCTGAGTGTCCCAGGATCCCCGCTGGAACTCGGGCAGGTTGTGACGGCACTGGGGCGAAGCTTCCTCCCATTAGGGTATGGGCAGGCGGGCCTCTGGGCCATGACCAGGCATCGGGGTGTGCCTGGGAATGTGGAAGGTCAGGGGAACACGGACAGGCCCTGGCCCTCCAGGCATAAACCCTATTCTTACAGACCACCAGGCTTCGGGGGTTTCCATCACTGGCGACAGGGTGGACCCGAGCGGAGGGCTCTGACCCGGCGGGCCAGGGCACAGGGGCTCACCAGCAGGGAGATGGGCCGGAACTCAGAGAGGCTCCGGCCCAGCAACCTGGGCGGCCGCAGCTTCAGCTTCATGTAGAGCTGGGTGACGACTTCACGGGTCAGCCGGGGGGTGGTAGCCAGGGCCTTCCACAGGGGCAGGACCTGCCTATGGAGGAGCGGTTCCACTGCCAGGGGCCCGCTGGGGGACCGGCCCCGCACACCTGAGGGCATCCAGCCCTGAGCAGGAGCAGGAGCAGGACCCTCCCTCAGGAGAGCTGTGAGCTGATGACCGCCTCACCCCCGGCACCCAGCGCACCGCGGTCCTCCCAGCCTGTCTCTTCATCTGGAGGGCACAGCCCAGCCGAGGAAGACGGGAGACGGGCCAAGCCAGGACCCCGGGCACCGCCTAGGCCAACTCCCATGTCCGCAACCCCTCAGACTGGGGGAGGTAGGTACAGCTGCTGCATTTCTGAGGTGCTCCTGGCAATCCGGCACTGCGGGCCTCAGCCCAGCACCCAAGTCAGAGCCTCACCACCCACAGGACATGAGGCAGAGGGACGGCTGGGGCTGCACCCCCGGGGCCTCGCTCACATGTGCTCATGCACCTCAGCTGACCCAGCCCCTCTGTGGATTGGCCTCCAAGGGCGGAGACTGAGACGCCTCACCCTGAAGCTCCCTCCAAGAATTGCTGTGCCCTCTGGGGCCCCTCAGCCAGGACATCTCTGGGGACCCCAGGAGCCCTGGTTCAGAGTTGAGGAAGAAGGGCTGAGTCACGGGAGCCCTCAGGCACCTCCGCCTGCCAGAGCCTAGAGCTGAAACTGCAGCCTGGGAGGGCCCACGATGGTGGCCCGTGGCGAGGGTCCTACCTCTCTGACGGGTGGCCCAGGCACAGGACCACCTCCACCGTCTCCTGCGTGTGCCGGGCCCCCAGAGCCGAGACAGCCTGCATCACCGTCTGCCGGATGCCCTTGAACACGATGCCCGGCAGCTCCCGGAACAGGCCCTGCAGGACTTCAGCCACCTGCACAGGGCGGGCCACGCAGCTCAGACCGGCGCTGCTGTGCCAGCCTCCCCTCTCGGTCGCCTTTGGTGGCAGCCCACCGTGAGCCCCGTGAGCCCCGTGAGCCCCGTGAGCCCCACGAGCCCCACGAGCCCGGGGCCCAGCGCTGGACCTGCAGGCGCCCCACCTGCTCAGGCTTGACGCCAGGCTCCTGGAACATGGTCAGGAGGAGCTGCGAGGCCAGGTCGCAGCGCAGGGGGCCGTGGCTGCCGAGGCCGTGCAGGAGTGAGAGGACCAGCTGCGTGTGCTGTGCCACCGTCAGGGTCTCGTTGAAGGCCTGGGAACGGCGGGGGTGAGGCCAGAGGCCAGCGAGGCCAGGGGCAAGAGCCCAGACACAGCAAAGAACCCCAAAGGGCCTCTCTGCCTCTCAGCAGGCCCCGAGCCCCAACCTGCCCTGGCTGAAGTGAGGTTGCTGCAGGCTCTGCAGACCCTCCTGCCCCACAGCCAGCAGGGGGCCCCTGCCCCATGGCAGGCTGACAGCCTCTTGCTCCACCTGCCCTCCCGCTATCTCCACGGTCACCTTCTCAGAACAAACATGCACTCCAAGTATTGGATGCCCAGATTCTGCTCCCTGGCTCTCTCTCGGGAACCCACTAGAGACGACAAGCTTCTGGGTCTGGGGCACCTGGGAGGGGCTCAAGGCACCATCTGCATGAGGGTGTCACTGTCCCAGGAGGGGCGTCACTGTCCCCAGGGTGGGCAGGTCTCAAACCTGCTCAGAACCCTCACCCAAAGGTGGGGAGGCCGAGGCACAGAGAAGTGAGCCACCGGGCACTCAGCGGGGAGCTGGAGAGCTCGTTCACCACACCGGACTCCGGACTCCCGGCTGGGAGGGGAGGGCTGAGTGCGGGGGCATATGAGGGCGGCAGCAGAGGAGAGCGGGAAAGGGAGGCCAGCTGCCCTACTGAGGCCAGGACTGGCCCTGGCAAACCCAAATGAGCCGTCACCCTGGACAGGAGCCCCAGAGGAAGGCCAGAGGAAAGAGCCCCGAGGAGGCCCCTAAGACACCGAAGAGAAACTCACAACCTTCAGGTCCAAGTGAGTCAGAACTGGAGGATACAGGGTCAAGATTTTAAAGGAAGATGGAGGCAGGTCTCCCCTGGTCCTGGCTCTGCCCAGGCTGCTGGAACCTGCATTGCCCCACACACACAACGTGCTAGGCAGTGAGGGGCCGGCTCGGTCCCACCCAGGGCAGTGTGCGGGAGCTGCAGGGGCGCAGCCCAGCTGTGGCCTCACCTTCACTGTGTGGTAGAGCTTTGCCTGCCATTCCCTGGAGCCCCTCACTTCCCATTGTTTCAGTCTGTTCACATGCGGCAGCTCCACCGTCCTCCCTGAGTGAGGTCCGCAGTCAGGGAGCGGCTTTGGCCTGGGGCTGACTCCCTTCTCTCCAGCACCCACCCCAAGTCACAGACCAGAGTGAGGCCCATGGAAAGCCAGGGAGCCCAGGAGCAGGGCCAGCTTGCCAGGAAATAGAAGGATGCCTTCCCTCCTCACTCTCACACCCAGCTCACCCTTCTGTAAAACCAGGAGCTGGAGGAGGAGGTGGACACACTGACAGGAGAGATTCCGGGTGACCTCGTCCTTGTCCCGCCACAGCAGAGTCAGCAGGCCTATCTGGTGGCCCAGCATGGAGGGCGTGGCCTCTTCCTGGCAGGTGAGCAGGTGGGCAGAAAGCCTGGTCTTCATTTCTGCTGTCCCAGGCTTCCCACTTTTGGACTCTCAGTTCGTTCCTGTGCTGTGTCTGGTGTGGACACGCCCTGGCTCAGCATCTAAAGATGGGCCCTCGCTCCAACTCTGGGGAAGGCCTTCACCTCTTTGACCTGTTTCCTCATCTATAATAGGGGCATCTCCAGCATTTACAGTGAGAAGTTAGTGGTGTGTCATTTCCTGTATGCATGTATGAGTGCATGCATATATTTAATGATTCTGGCTAATTTAAGATTTTTCATATTTATCATTGGTTTTCAGCAATTTTGGAGTGAGGTGCCTCAGTGCGTTATTCTAAGTGTTTATCCCATTGAGATTCTTGGATGTATGGGATATGGAGAGAGAGAGAGAGAGATTTGCTATAGGGCACATGTGCTTGCCAGAGAGATAGAGAGACAGAAAGTGAGAAATCACCCACCAGGGGAGATGACCACACCACAATCCCTTCTCCTCCAGTCTCCTCTTGGAATTTTGGGCATACACACACATGCCCAGTGTGAGTTTTAAGTCAACAGGTCTGGGACTTGAACGACCACGGTCAACTACAATGGAGTCCAGCAATGTAACCATTACACCTATTGCTGGTCCCATATACATATACTAGTAATTTTTAAAAAAACTTATTTATTTCATTTTATTTGTTATTATTATTAATAGTTTAATTTGACCAGACAGAGACAGAGAGAAGAAAAATGAGAAAGCAAACCACCAGGTCTGGGACTTGAACCACAGTGTGCCATGTGGGAGCCCAGCGCCACCCGCTGGCCTTGGGTTCATATTTTTCATCAAATTTCGGAAATTTCAGTCATTACATCTTCCACTGTTTCTTTCTGTGCTAATCTTCTCATCGCTCCTTCTGAGACTCCAATTACACTTGGTCCTGTTGCACAGGTCACTGTGGCCCTGGTTACCCTCTCCCCAGTCCTTGCCCTCTGTGTTCCTCAGTTTCAGTAGGTCCCATTAGACCACCTTCATGATCACTGATATTTCATCTGCAGTATCTCATCTTCTGGCAAATGGATCCAGTGCATTTTAATTTTGAGATTCTGTATTTTATTTGCCATTCTAGAATTTCCATTAGAATCCTTTCAATAGTTATCATTTGTCTGTTGATAGTTCATATTTATTCTTTTATTATGTTCATGTTTTCCTTTAGGTTACTGAACACATTTATGATAATTGTCTTAAGATTTCAAGTTCCATCATCTCTGTCGTTTGTAGATATACTTCTACTGAGTAGTTTGTCTCCTGATTATGGGTGAAATTTCCTGCTTTGTCACCATGTCAAGTAATTTTTTATTGTATGCTGGACATTGTGAACATTCCATTGAATTTTTATCTAGCAGGCAGTTAATTGATCTTTTTGAGACTTGAGTTTAAGTTTTTGTTAGGCCAGATTGGGAGTAGCCTTTACTCGGACACTGAGATGACCCTGGTACTGAGGCACAGTCTTTATGGGCTATTCAAGGAGACTGGCTCTGGAGCTGCTTCCCTGCCCAGGAAGCAACCTGAGATTCCAGCTCCCTCCAAATCCCTGAACTACCAGCTCTGCCTCCACAGCTCAGCAGCATTAGCAATCCTGCTTCTAAGGCTTCAGACCAGAAAATAACTTCAAGCAGAAGGCTGGCATGATTGTGGGGCCCTCCCCATCTGTCCTTCCTTTGGCTGGTACAGTTCTGTGCTGCCTGTTGGCACACCTACATTCAGTTATTTCATGTGTTCTGACCCATTTTCTAGTTTCCTACAATGGAAAAGTGAGACTAAAACCAGGTGTTGGGGGTAGGGAGGTGGTGGAGACTCCCATGTAGTCGACCACGGTTCGAGTCCCGAACCCAGTGATTTAAACTCATGCCAGGCACGAGTGCATTCGTTCCCAAGATCTGAGAGAAGAATGGAGGAGAAGGGATTGTGGCGTGGCCATCCCCCCTGGGGGGTGATTTTTCACTTTCTGTCTCTCTCTCTCTGTCTTTCTGGTGAGCGCACGTGCCCTATAGCAAAACCTCGCCCCAAGAAAAGAAGCCAGAGTGTGCCCTTAACATGACACAGTGGTTGCTCTTTGCCTTCTGTCTCAAAGCCTTACAAGGTCCTGCTGGGTCAAGGAGCTAAGCACCTGCTTCCGAGGCCTCCCCCACACTTCCTCCTCCCTCACAGCTCCACCACAGCCTTGAACGCTACCCTCCTAGGTGCCTCTACGACCTTAGTTTGCCCTGGTTGATGTCTCTTCCTGAAGCACTCGATTCTCTACCCCACTACAGGCCTCAGCTTGGTAAGACATCCTCTGTCGATGTTGTCCTGATTGCTTTATTTTCACTTCTGATAACATTTTATTGTGATATGTCAAACTTGAAATACTACAAGAGTCATCCAGAGACCCCACACATCCCTCACCCCACTTTCCCCATCGTGCACCTCCCTCACCCTGCTTACCCCATGTGCACCTCCCTCATCTGCTTACCCCATTGTGTAAACCTTGCCCTGCAGGCATCTTCATCTCTCTGTCTCTCTCTGTCTCTCTTTCTCTCTGTGACTGGAGACATTGGGTTATTTTACTTCAGAATGCTTCAGTGTGTATTTCCTAAGCTTGAGGGCATTTATTTACATAATCACAATGCAATCATTGAAATTAGAACACCTATTTAGCATTGATGCAATACTGTTGTCTAACCCACCGCCTATATTTAAGTTTCACCAGTTGTCTCTGACCATCTGTCTCACACACACGTTTCTTTTCCAGTCAACATCTCCCCTAATCTTGTATCTGAAATACTTCCTCAGTTTTCTGTCTTTCCCAGTCATGACACTTTTGAAAAGTACAGAGATAGTGCCTTGGATTTGTCTGGCGTTTCCTCACTATTGTTTTAGGTTCTGGTTTCCAGCAGGAACGTCCTTGGGGGCGAGCTACATGCCCAGGAGGACGCAGCCAGGTGGCGCCTTCCCTCAGTAGTGGCCCTGAGCTTCCACTCTGGTGGAGCCTGTTTGACCAACCTTGTAGTTTGAGTGATTGCCTTCCACCGTCTGTCTAGGAATCTTTACACCAACTTGTACGGACGATCTAAGTTTATTTCTGAAAACTGGTGGTTTTTATTTTTACATTGAGCTTTGTGACTACTTGAAGTTACTTTTTGTGCATGATATGATTTGGGGTGAGGCTGGCAATGGTTTGAATGTGTCCCCCAGAGGTTCCTGGGTTGGAAGGTGGCGAGCCAGCGCACTGATGTGGAGAGGGTGGAGGCTTAATCCGACTGTGCTGTTGAATGGTGGGGGCCTTTGAAGGTAGCGAAGTCACCAGGTGGGCCCCCCATTATTAACCCCTGGTGGGTTTATAGGAGCAGACACAGGGCACACACAGCTCTTGCCCTCTTGTCATGTTGTGGAAGGCTGTGCACCAGCGAGTCTGCCGAGGTTTCTCAGAAAGCAAACAATTGCCATGATTGGTTCCCTTCAAAAAGCCTGACCTTCGAAACCTTGCTCTGATTGGCCACTAGAATCCAACCACGATGCCTGGCCCACAGTAGCCAGACGACCAGGAAGACAACACAGATGACCAGGAAGACGACACAGACGACCAGGAAGACGACAACGACCAGGAAGACGACGACGACCAGGAGAGCCTGAAGAGTTGAAACACCGCACGGTCTCCAGACGACCCTAAAGAGTTGTAACACTACATCGTCTCCGGATGACCCTGGAGAGCTGTGACACTGCGTCGTCTCCGTGCTGCTCACAATAGACGATGCCACCCTAAAGAGTTGTAACACTGCATTGTCTCCGTGCTGTACCTTGCTGCCCACAATAAACAGACGACACTGAAGACACAGTGTCATCTCCGTGCTGTAACACTACGCCGCTTGTCCCGGCTCTCACTCCACTCAGGAAACCTGTTCGGCTGTCCCCGCCCCCTCCCCCCCCAGGTCGGGACAAAGGCATAAACAGGGACCTGAGTACGAAGGATCCAGTGAAAAGCACCCGAGGAGGGGACGGCAGAGAATCATCCGGGAAGGGGACGGCAGAGAATCGTCCTGAGATAGGACGACAGAGAATCGTCCGGGAAGGGGACGGTAGAGAATCGTCCCGAGAAAAGCCGCAGAGGAGGACAGCAGAGAATCGTCCCGAGAAAGGCTACAGAGGAGGACGGCAGAGAATTGTCCCAGTGAGTAACAAAGATCACTTACTTATAAGTAATAAGGGTAATAATGGGACAAGTAATAATGGTAATAATGGGACAAGAGCTTAGTCAGCACGAACAAGAGCTTAGTCAGCACGAACAAGAGCTTAGTCAGCATGAACTATTCATTCAGGGCTTAAAAGAAGCCCATGCCACTATGGTCGATCTAACCAAGGATTCTAAAATTGAAAAGGAACAGGGAGAGGATCTTATTTCCCTAGATAGTGAGGAAAAAGTTAAAAGCCCTGAAGGTGAGACAAAACCCAAAAAATCCAAACAGCTAAAAAACAAAAACAACCTTAAGGCTCTACAAGAGCCAACGAAAAATGAGTCAAAAATTGAGTCAGTTTTTTGGACAATGTGCTGCTGTTTATTGTATTTCTATATGGTCTCTGCTTGGGATGGTTATGTGTTTATCATCAACCTTATTCCACTGCATGTGTTTGTGTTGATACTGATGCAGAGATATAGCAAAAGAGTCTACATAGCATATAGCATTTTCTACATTGTGGGTTTAATATTA